GTTTGCGTAACACTGTCGTCATCATGCCCCCACCCACCCCCACCCCCCTCCCCCCGGAAGCAAGTCCACAATCAAGAGGCCGAGTTTGCAAACTCGGCAAGTCGATTTTGAGGCTTCTTATGATGATCGTACATGACGAAAGTGCTGTGAATAATACCGAATAAAACGGATGTGCTCTTAAGATGGTTTTGAGCAAGTGTAGTTGGTAGGGGGGGGCGCCTACTACTACTACTACTACTACTACTACTACTACTATTACTACTACTGCTCCTGCTCCTGCTGCTGCACTACTTTTTTTTCGTGCACGGCTTCAGTTACAATTTGAGCTATTACTTCTTACTGCCCTTGCGCGATTTGCCAATGCTCGCAGATTTCACCTGACCCCTGTTCCCATGACATGATGAGGTCGAAGGCTGTATCTGCCTGCACCTTCGAGTTTAGGGTTTAGGATTTAGGGGATATGATATAAGATGATACACTATGATTTAGCATATAGTTCATGATAAGGCTTAGGGTAGCTAGCACGATTTTTCGGGTGTTCGAACTAGCCACCCCCGCCAGGCTCCACACGGGACCACAACAAAGTTATGGTGCGTGCTGGCCGCATGTACAGCTATTTCCCATTGAATGTGCTGGTATGCTTTCCCTGTGCATCTCTACCTCTACGATTACGATGCATTCACGCCTTCCTCATGTAGCATGTTACTATCTTGGTTCCTGTTACTCACACTTGGCCGAGGGCTCTTGTGGCCAGTCTTGTTATCAGCGGCTAAACCGTTTTGGTCCTTCGGACCTAAACGCCTGAGCCCTAAACCTCCGGTTCAAACCACTTGTATGAACCCGGACCTATGTATCATGCCATGCAACATAACACAATATCAAACAACATGATACAGTATACGATGAAAAAGAGCATCTACTCTTCTGCCCCGTGCTAGCGCCCCTACACCTTGATCTCAAAACCACTATCGAGCACCGATGAAAACTGCCATGTTCATGGAGTGCCTCGACATCCTGTCCCCGCGCCAAGAGCTCTGGTCGCATCATTAATAAAAAGGAAACGAATTCAGTGCAACTCTACAGCTCCGACTCGTTTGACTGAGTCCTGATACTCCCCATTTGGGTTGTCTAAGCTATGTTCCTTACAACTTTCAATGTGGAATGGGGCGAGTTTGGGTGTACAACATAAGTACAACGAAGAACCCTAAGGAATCGTAGTGGTAATGACCTAAACCCTAAACCCTAAACCCCTAAGGAATCGTAGTGGTAATGAATTCTTCCGACCTCCGCAGTTAGCCTTCAGGCTTAGCAAACAACCCACCCGCCTGCAAATGGTAGCATAATATTCAAGGGTTTAGGGTTTAGGGGTT